GAGGTACGTAGCTTCATGGGCCCTTAAACCGGTCCCGAACCTCCTTTCAAGGGCCTGCTGTGTGACCCTTAGTTTGTTTTGGGTGTGTATACGGGTTTATAAGGCTTCTCAAAGGGGTACCCGTGTAAGTGCCCATACCATGTAACTACCCTAAGAGCAAAAGCCAAGAGATCTGAATTAGTCTTCTTGCAGGAGGATGGGACTCGATGCTCGACAGCGAAGGTGGGCTGTTGCCACGTCGTGCCAGATGCGGGGTGAGGGCTAACCCTAACTCTAATTTCTAAACCCTAACCCTAAACCCTAAACCCCAAACCCTAAACCCTAAACCCTCAGAGGATTTTGGGGATCAGGGCTCCGGCTGCCGACACAGTTCACAAACCCTACACCCTAACCCTAAACGCCTCAGCCCGAAAAGCACTACTTTAACTCTTAGCCCCTGGAGACCAAGAACCTCTCAGGGTTTAGGGGTCAGGGAAGACTTCAACCCCTGCCCCCTAGAGTCTGGGTGAAGGAAGGGTTATATCAGGTAGGGTTTAGAGTAGCGCTCATCTGGTGAGTGCATCTATGGTTCCTTGTGACTCTTTGTGAATGTATGTATGTGGTGTCCTCTTGGGGATGCTCGGCATGAAAAGGGCAGCTATGCTTCCGGCAAGTCGCTGGCTGCCCTTGAGGCCAACGCGCCTCTCCCTCGCCCTACCCCCAGGGAGGCAGAGGCCACTTTGAGATGCCTCCCTTCACACCGGTGGCCGGGTGTGGGGCAGCTATGCTTCCGGCAAGTCACTGGCTGCCCTTGAGTCCAACGCGCCTATGGCCATGGCGCATGACAGCGGAGCTATGCGCCAACGTGTCCGCTGGTGGGCAGCCAGCACGTACCTAAGAGGTTGCAAAACCCTATACGTGCGGAATGCATCACAGGCAGGGGAGGCCGTTTCGTTCTCACAATCCTTGAGTCGTTGAGTTGCCTCTGCTGTGGAATCATGTAAGTAGACTCACCAGAGATTCGTTGCCATAGATGGGCTATGCATGCATGTGCTGAAAGATGGCTTGCGATTTCTCCCTCGCCCTACCCACAGGGAGGCAGAGGCCACTTTGAGATGCCTCCCTTCACACCGGTGGCCGGGTGTGGGGCAGCTATGCTTCCGGCAAGTCACTGGCTGCCCTTGAGGCCAACGCGCCTATGGCCATGGCGCATGACAGCGGAGCTATGCGCCAACGTGTCCGCTGGTGGGCAGCCAGCACGTACCTAAGAGGTTGCAAAACCCTATACGTGCGGAATGCATCACAGGCAGGGGAGGCCGTTTCGTTCTCACAATCCTTGAGTCGTTGAGTTGCCTCTGCTGTGGAATCATGTAAGTAGACTCACCAGAGATTCGTTGCCATAGATGGGCTATGCATGCATGTGCTGAAAGATGGCTTGCGATTTCTCCCTCGCCCTACCCCTCTGCCACTTTGAGACTCGCCATAGCTGGGTTTTGTACTCTAAGTGAGTTTTTGAACCTTTGGGCGAAGGGATCATAGCCTTGGCCAAAAACCTTTTAAGGCTACTTGGAGGTTCATGGGTCTTATAAGTAGGGTTAAAAGTAGAGTAACCATGGTTCTAACCTGATTTAGGGTTCTTATAACCCTACTTTTAAGTACCCATGAACCTCCAAGTAAAGGTTTGGGGCTTTAGGGTTTGCAAGGTTTGGGGATAGCTTCCGCCGCAAGCCCACAGACTCCTACGCCCTGGAGCCTCCACGAAGCTCTCGAATCTATGGCGCTGGAGGTGAAAGCCCTAGACCCTAAACCCTCGACCCTAAACCCTAAACCCTAAACCCTCATTCCTAAACCCTAAACCCTAAACCCCAAGCCCTAAACCCTAAACCCTACTAGAAAGGCTTCTAGGGCTGTAGCCCTAAAGGTGGGACACAACAGGCGACCATAGCCTCCCTCATTACCTTAGACTCCCTCGACCCCTGAAACGCCTTTAAAGTGCGTAGCCCGAGACCCCCATCATGTTCTTAACTTAGCTATGGGCTAAATCAACAAATAAACATACATGTGTGTGTGTATATATATATATCTACATACCCTATATTCTATAGTACATAAAATATACTAGGCTAGTATCTTCTATTCGATATATGAACTCTACATATAAAGCTGCAGGCAGTGACGAGGGCGCCGTGTCGGAGGAGGCTGAAGCCAGTGCCTCAGGGTTTATGGTTTAGGCTTTAGGCTTTAGGGTTTAGTATGGCACTACCGGGGGGTTTGCGGGGTTAGGGTGCCTTGAAGTAGCCATTCTGGTAGGGTTTAGGGTTTGGGGTTTAGGGTTTCGGGTTTAGGGTTTAGGATTGAGGGTTTAGGGTTTAGTGCCCGAAGCCCGACTTATAGGAACCCTAAGCTGCCGAGGTGTCCTGGACTCAAGGCCCTAAACCCTTAACCCCAAACTCTAAACCCTAAACCCTAAACCCTAAACCCGAAACCCTAAACCCTAAACCCTACACCCTAAACCCTAAACCCTAAACCCTAAACCCTAAACCCTAAACCTTCAACTCAGGGGTGTTGGACTTTCCGGGTATCTGTTTCGGGGGCCTCTATTATTTTGGTTTCAAGGTATGGGCTTAGGGATGGTTAAGGTTAAGGGTTTAGGGTTTAGGGTCAGGGTTCAGTCCTGGGAAGGTAGAGGCTTCTGAGGTCTTTAGCTAACCCTTGGGGGGATCCGAAGTCCTTTCGTAAATCAACTCTAGACCCCTAAACCCTAAACCCGAAACCCTAAACCCTAAACCCTAAACCCTAAACCCTGAACCCTGAACCCTACATCCTACATCCTGCATCCTGCATCCTAAGCCCTAAACCCTAGGACCTGGCCCTTTCTAGAGTTTCGGTGCGGTTCTGGAGCTTCTGGGCCCCTCCAACCCCCTCATCTTGCTGCTGCATTAGCTCGCTCGGCGGCGAGGCTGATCATGGACCCTTCCCTTCCCTTCGAGAGAGACAGAGAGAGAGAGAGAGAGAGAGAGAGAGAGAGAGAGAGAGGGGGAGAGGGAGAGGGAGAGAGAGAGAGAGAGAGAGAGAGGGAGAGAGAGAGGGAGAGGGAGAGAGAGAGAGAGAGAAACTGAACAGCCGTGTCCTTGGATAACACACACACTAGGCCAAGAACGGGGAAAGCGAGCAGCAGTCTCGCAATGGACAGGAACCTTGGGCGCGCTTCTGCGCGAGGGCCCTGCAGAAGGAGAAGAAGTGAGAAAGAGAGAGAAGCAGAGAGCGAGCGAGATCGACAGATGAAGAGAAGAGAAAGACAATGGGAGAGAGAGAAGCAGATGGATGGATAGGTAGATGGAGAGAGCCTTGAACCCGAAACCTAGCCCTAAATCCTTTAAACTTGAAACCCTAGCCACCCGACCGAAGCCCAACCTAAACCCTGCTTGAACCCTGCCTAAACCCTAAGGGCAACGTATCATGAAAATGGAGGCCCGCAAAAGGGTCGACTTTTTCGGGTTTCGTATGGACTCACGCTTTCTAAGGTGCCCCCCCTTTGACCAGGCAATGGACCCTATATAGCAAAGCTTGCCGGATGTATATACATGCAGCGATTAAGAGGGCTCAGAGTTTAGCATTTTGGTTTGCGGGTTCTTGCAACTGACTCCCTGAAACCCTTAATCCTAAACCCTCAACCCCCCAAACCCTAAACCCTAAACCCTAAACCCTAAACCCTAAACCCTAAACCCTAAACCCTAAACCCTAAACCCTAAACCCTAAACCCTAAACCCTAAACCCTAAACCCTAAACCCTAAACCCTAAACCCTAAACCCTAAACCCTAAACCCTAAACCCTAAACCCTAAACCCTAAACCCTAAACCCTAAACCCTAAACCCTAAACCCTAAACCCTAAACCCCTGCAACCTCCCCAAGCCCAACTCCGAACGCCCAACAAGGACCTCGACTTCCAGAACCCGCCCCCAAGAGCAGCGCCGAAGGTTCGCATGCAGGCCGTTGAGAGAGCAGGGCTTCGAGGGTTTAGGGTTTAGGGTTTAGGGTTTAGGGCTTCAAGTATCCCCACTACTCACTAAGGCACCCTAAGCTTCCTTAAAGTTCCCTAGGTGCCCCCCCCCCCCCCCCCCCCAGGGTTTAGGGTTTCGGGTTTAGGGTTTAGGGTCTAGGGTCTAGGGTCTAGGGTTTAGGGTTTTTAGGGTGAGGACCCTACAATCCCAGGTTCTCCGTGATTTGCAGTCGGCGGTCTTCTGATGGTATAGACCTTTTCTGCGTATCTCAGTTTCAACCGAAACCCGAAACCCGAAACCCTAAACCCTAAATCTTAAACCCAGATCTGCAAGCACTTGAGCCAATTTCGGACTCATGCCTTCCGTTTTGAACACATTTTCAGATTCTGGGCAGTGCCCTACTTACCAAGGTTAGAACCATAGCCCATGAACCTCCGAGTATCTAACCCCCCTTCATTCTATCCCAGTACTTCGAAATGGACAGAGAATCGCGTTGTTGGGGGTAGAAATCCACCCCAGTGATTCAGCTTCGCGCCACCTGCAAGATCCCTGTCCACTCCCCAGCAAACCCGAAACCCTAAACCCTAAACCCTAAAGCCCTAACCCCAAAATCTAAACCCAAACCCCTAAACCCTAAGCCCCGACCCCCCCCCCCCCCCCCCGAGACTCAACGGATTCTAGAGGTTATTGACCCCAAGCCGCAATTTGCTGCCATGCTGCGCTCATGGTGCCGCGGACGCTTGCCTGGGGCGCTTCACTGGCGAGGCGAGCTCAGGGGTTCAGGTTTAGGGTTTCGGGTTTAGGGTTTGGATTCAGTCAACCCAACCTAAAATCCCAGCACCCCCGAACCGAGAACCTTAGCCCTGTGAAGCAGCGATTCAGGGTTTAGGGGTTCAGTTTAGGGTTTAGGGTTCAGGTTTAGGGTTTAGGGTTAGAAGTAGGGGTAACTACGGTAATATCCTTATTTAGGATACTTACCGCGCGACTTTTCGTACCCAGGAACCCACAAGTGTGCCCGAGGCTTCGCGCGGCTTCCCAAGCACCACCCGCGCCTGGAGACGTGCCGTGTCGAAGGGGAAGGGGGGCTCCGTAACTTGAGTAAGAGGATTCAGGGTTTAGGGTTTAGGTTGCAGGGTTAGTTTAGGGGTTCAGGGCTCAGGGTTCAGGGTTTAGGGTTTAGGGTTTAGGGTTTGGGGTTTAGTAGGGTTTAGGGTTCAGGGTTCAGGGTTCAGGGTTTTCCAAACCAGGGTTTCAGGGATTAGCCTCTACTTGAAGGTTCCTGAATATCCATACTTGATGCTATGAGTAAGGTGACCGTAGCTGAGGGTTCTTGTCGCGTTTCCTACGCAAGCAGACGGCGCTGAAAGGGCGAACCGTAATACAATCTCCCAACCCTAAACCCTACACCCTAAACCCTAAACCCTCAACCCTGAACCCGAAGCCCCCAACCCATAACCCTCGACCCCAAACCCTCCCCTGCGATGGGAGGTGGAGAGTGAGCGACCTGCGCAAGCAGTCCGCCTTTCTGGTGTGCCCCGTTTCCACGAAGCTTGAGACTGCTGGGTTTCGGTTTAGGGTTTAGGGTTTAGGGCTAGGGCTCAGGGTTTAGGGTTCAGGGTTTAAGTTTTAGGGTTTAGGGCTTAGGAGGGTCTACTTGGAGGTTCATGGGAACTTAAAAGTATGATCATAACTGGGGTAGCTATGGCTATCACCCAACCCGTGAACCTCCAAGTGCCGGTTGAGGGTTGTTCGGTTTGGGGCTATGGGTCTGGGAAGCCCTCATCCCTAATCCCTAATCCCTAAACCCCAAACCCTAAACCCAAAAAACGATTTCGGACGTAGGGTCGTGCGGGCTGAAGGGTTCGGGGAAAAAGTTCAGGGTTAGGACGGGGATTTCCGACAACCCGAAAAATGCGCCGTTTCTTTCAGCCCTATTCCCAAAAAGTTGTTTTCCTACATGCGTTTCCCCAAAATCGTAATCCGTCAAGGGGTCCGTGCTGAAGCCGGCCCGAGCGTGGGGATAAGGCTCCCTGCTTACATGCAGCGTTCAGGCGGCTACAGCGCAGAAGAATGCCCTACAGGTGCATGTGCTTCTCAGGTTTCCCGAAATCACCTTTGCTGAGTCCCGTTCTCTAGAGCACGCTGCGTGTTCTCGTGCCGTGCGCGGGAGTGCCCGCCTGCAGGACAAGGGAGCGGGGGTCTCATGGGAAAGTTAGACGAAGAGATGCGGAGTGACTAACCTGAAAAAAGGCTTCTCGGAGGTAGGTCCGCTGCCGGACTCCGGTTTCCGCGGGGCTGCGGCCGAATCCAAAAAACAAACCTTTCTCTAAGAACGATCATGGGTTCCCCTAGTACCCCCATCTATATGTACTACCCCCCCTAGGTTCCCCCCACAATGAAGGCTATTTAGGGGAACGATTGAGAAAAGTGAGATCTCGAATAGAGCGCAACGACTCGTGAGTTGCACCCGCTTAGGGTTTAGGGTTTAGGGTTTAGGGTTTAGGGTTTAGGGTTTAGGGTTTAGGGTTATCAAGAATGCATTGGGTATGTTTTTGTTTGTCGGCACTGCTCCAAGCAAACATGGCCTTGACTGATGGATGTGTGACTGAAGCAGTTGTGTATCTTGATGTGACGCAGGGTATATATATATATATATATATTTCTGGTACCCCCAAAAGGACACCCGGTACATACACTCACCAACATTACAAAGGAGCCTTATATACACTCACCAAAAATCAGTAGTATAAACCCTACTTCATGTGTGTTAGTGCTCGGACCATAAGATGTGGATGGAAGATCTGAAAAAAGAAGTTGAGGGAACCTGAGCTCCTCCAAGCCATTGTCCCTTACGCCGAAGTTGCGAAGCGGATGTTCTAAGCCTAAGCCTTGCCACCTTAAACATTGGGACCGAGATTGAGACCGTGGTTTTGGGAAGTTCCCCCTTATAACAACAGTCCTTCATAGGGATGATAATCGGGGGTACTATAATCCTAAACCCTAAACCCTAAACCCTAGACCCTAAACCCTAATTCCTGTTGAGGACTGTTTGTAGAAGGGGGAACATCCCAACCGTGATTGGTATTGCTGGAGATTCTCTTATTTTTGCATGCGCCCCTAAGCCCTAGCCCCGTGAACCCCCTAAACCCCGAAGCCCCTTACACCCCCTAAACCCTAAACCCTAAACCCTAAACCCTAAACCCTAAACCCTAAACCCTAAACCTTAAACCCTAAGCCCTAAGCCCTAAGCCCTAAACCCTAACCCTAAACCCTAAACCCTAAACCCTAAACCCTATACCCTAAACCCTAAACCCTAAACCCTGAACCCTAAACCTTAAACCCTAACCGTACACAAGGCATGGCGAGCCACGGCAGGCCCAGCTCACCTCGCAGGCTTTCTGGGTTCAGGTTTAGGGTTTAGGGTTTAAGGTTTAGGGTTTAGGGTTTAGGGTTTAGGGTTTAGGATTTAGGGGTTAGGGTTCGTAGTTTAGGGTTTGTATGTTTTCTAAGCTATGGGCCTCGTACCACTGGAGCATAAGTCTAAGCCGTTGTTTATCGGGTTTAGGGTTAGGGTTTCGGGCTTAGGGGTCGAGAGTTGATTGACGAAAGGACTTCGGATCCCCCCAAGGGTTTTTTGAAGACCTGAGTAGTCGGACCTAAACCCTAAACCCGAAACCCTAAACCCCAATTCCCAAACTCTAAATTCCCACCCGGCCTGCTTAGGCCGTACCCACCCTTTTCTAGGGTGCCTGGACCCAGAAGATATCCTGGCCCCGCTTGGGCCGCTGGCACCCCCCTCACTCCCTAGCCCTGGCCCCTGCCTGCCTGCCCCCTCTCGGCCCCCCTGGGGTCGGCGCCCCCCCTTCCAAACTCCCTGACTGCTTGTGGTTCTAGAAAAGCCTCAATGGTGGGAATTGAGGGCGACAGCCCTAAACCCTAAAAGGCAGCGTTTTGGGCAGCACCAATGAAAATTGTTGGGCTGCACTGAAAGCAAATGCCTTCACGTGACATGCCGCCCCCCCCCCCCCCCACACCCCATGGGTGTGTAGGGGCGCCATTTCCACATCGTATCTACTGCCGCTGCGCGCCGAGACGCCCTAACCCTAAACCCTAACCTAAACCCCACACCCTAAACCCTAAACCCTGAACCCTAAACCCTAAACCCTAAACCCGAAACTCTAAACCCTGAACTCTAAACCCTAAACCCTAAACCCAAAACCCTAAGCCCTAAACCCTAAACCCTCAACCCTCAACCCTAAACACTAAACCCTGAACCCTAAGCCCTAAACCCTCACCCTAACCTTAACCATCCCTAAGCCCCATACCTGCTGGTGCAAGGGGAGTGAGTTCTGCAACGCGGCCTAGTCCACGTATTCTGGATCCCAGGTCTCAGCGTGTCTGTGCTTTTGGGTCATGCTACGGGAAGAGATTGCTTGCAAAAATGCCTCAGACACCAGGCCCTGCTTGCGTTCCCCGCGCTTGGTGGAGTGGGGGATGGCTTCTTGTGCGTTCGGGATCGTATGGACGTCCCTTGTGAAGGGAGCATGAGACAATACAAGACGTCGTACCGCGAGGAGATGCGCCGACAAGTTTTCGTACGTCGCCGTGCACCTCCAAAGCAGCCGAAGCCTGCTGAACTTAGCCGCTCCATTCGCAACGAAGGCCGAAGGAACGACGCCCACCTGCCTCTAGATCCTTGGTTGTCGCTCTTTCCATCTCTGGCCTTGAGGATAGTGTTTCCGGACAGCATGGTGACGTGCTTAGCGAAAGCGCGGCGGCAAGCTCCTCTCAATATTTAAACTTCGCAACGGTTGGAAGGGCAGCGCGAAGTCGAAGTTGGCCAAGCGGGACGTCTTTGGGGCCTGTGTTCAACACGGGACGTATTGGTGACGGATATCCTATACGGCTGAGGTGTGGAACAGTGAAGCGCACACCCTTTTGAGCCTCGAGGCCGCAAGCGGGGCTGTGTAGACTCCCTCGACTCGACAGTAGATTTCGAGTGAGCCGTGCTGGTGCAAGGGGAGTGAGGTCTGCAACCCGGCCTAGTCCACGTATTCTGGGTCCCAGGTCTCAGCGTGTCTGCTTTTAGGTCATGCTACGGGAAGAGATTGCTTGCGATAATGCCTCAGACACCAGGCCCTGCTTGCGTTGGTGGTGCCAGATCCGCACCATCTCCTTGAAAGAAAGAGGCACCTAATTAATACCAATGTAGAGCTTCGAGACGAAGAGCCCAAGTTCTTTGGGGTCTTTTGGGAAGATGGTTTTGGGTGGGAAGTCCCAAGTTGTCCCAAGTTCCCGGTAAAGCAATCTTCTAGTTTCAATTCTTGCCCGCCTTCACGCGCACACGCGCACACGCGCACACGCGCACACGCGCGCAAGCGCACACGCGCACACGCGCGCACGTGCACATGCGCACACGTGCACATGCGCACACGCGCACGCGCGCGCGCGCGCGCGCGCCCACGCGCGCACGCGCGCACACGCGCACTCGCGCAGACGCGCGCACACGCACACACGCACACACGCGCACAATCACACACGCGATATCAATCATTCCTGAATTTGGCATCATTTCCAGAATAATTTCTGGGATTTTACAAGTCATCATCTTTGGCAACCAATCAATGATCTTTGCCACGTCATCAATTTCTCTTCTTGGAAGTTTTTTTGGGGGCATCATATGTATACTGTAGGTTTAGAAAGTGATACAAGAGCTTATTTTACAGGAGTTACAGCTTTACTATCCTCACCAACTGGTACAAAAGTCTTTAACTGACTTTTTACATATCTTGGAAGCCCGCCATTATTACACCTTAGAATTAGATTTGTCTTCGTCTCACATCTCTTTTTATTCATGTTTACTATAGGTGGTTCTACAGGAATAATTCTTGGACATGCTGCACCCAAACCCCCAAACCCCAAGGCGCTCTTGAAGCCTCATGTGCAGGTGATGGCCTTGGCAACGGGCCAGGAAGTGCTCCAGGCCCCCACAGCACCCCCAGAATCCCTTCCTTCGCTCTTGAGGGGTTTAGGGTTTAGGGTTTAGGGTTTGAGATACCAGGGCGGAGGGATATAGCTTCAGGGGGTTGTGGTGTAGGGTTTACCGGGTCTTGATGATGGAGTGTCCCGAATTTTGGAGTAGTGCCAACCCTAAACCCTAAACCCTAAACCCTAAACCGTAAGCCCTAAACCCTACATCCTAAACCCTGAACCCCTCCCTTGTGGAGCTGGCCTCGGGGCCTTTTGAGGGTTTAAGGTTGTCCGGTGGCAGTGAGATTGTCAGCCTTCCCTGCAGCTTTAACAACCACGGTCTGGGATTTGGGGTGTAGGGTTTGGGGTTTAGGGTTCAATTCGGGTTTAGGGTTTGGGGTTTAGGGTTTAGGGCTTAGGGTTTAGGGTTTAGGGTTGAGGGTTGAGGGTTTAGGGTTTAGGGTTTAGGGTTTGGGGTGTTTAGTGTTTGGACGAATCCCCTTGCAGGCGCTAATCCCCCACGTGTAAAAGAAAGAAGCTCTAAACCCCACGCACGATTCCCCCTGCTCCTGGAGCTTACGGTTTCATGTTGACCTAAACGATAACACGCGCAAATCCCTAGAACCCAAGCCCTAACACCCTGAAATCCCCAGGCCTTGAACCCTAAAACCACAAAGCCCTCAATGCTAAAGGCTTAAACCCTGAAATCCCTAAATCCTGAATCCCTAAGGCCGTAGAAGCCCTAAACCTGAAACCCTCAACCCTGAAACCATGAAACCCCTGAACCTCGAAACCCTCCCCCCCATCCCCCCCCTCACCCCCCATCCCCGCCAAACCCTAAACCCTAAATCCTAAACCCTAAACCCTAAACCCTAAACCCTAAACCCTACACCCTAAACCCTAAACCCTAAACCCTCAACCCTAAACCCTAAACCCTAAACCCTAAACCCCAAACCCTAAACCCTAAACCCTAAACCCTAAACCCCAAACCCTAAACCCTAAACCCTAAACCCCAGACCCCAAACCCTAAACCCTAAACCCTAAACCCTAAACCCTAAACCCAAACCCCTAAACCCTAAACCCTAAACCCTAAGCCCGAAACCCGAAACCCTAAACCCTAAACCCTAAAGCCTAAACCCTAAGCCCGAAACCCGAAACCCTAAACCCTAAACCCTAAACCCTAAGCCCGAAACCCGAAACCCGAACCCTAAACCCTAAACCCTAAACCCTAAGCCCGAAACCCGAAACCCGAAACCCTAAACCCTAAACCCTAAACCCTAAGCCCTAAACCCTAAACCCTAAACACTAACCCTAAACCCTAAACCCCAAACCCTAAACCCCCGCCCCCTTTTCAATGAAGGCACTGGAGGTGGCCGAGGCGCTGAACGTGGCCCACATCTCCGCCGCCTTGAAGAGGCCAGGGCTTACAGTAAGGTTTAGGGTTTAGGGTTTAGGGTTTAGGGTTTAGGGTTTAGGGTTTAGGGTTTAGGGTTTAGGGTTTCGGGTTCAGGGTTTAGGGTTTAGGGATGAGGGATGAGGGATATCGGGGTTTATGGTTTAGGGTTTGGGGTTGAGGGTTTAGGTTTTCCAGGGTTCTACAGGGTCTTTCAGGGCTCCGCAGAGCTTTCGGGCTTCAGGGGGTTTGCAGGGCTCTGCAGGGTTTTGCGGCTTCTTGGGCTTCAGGATGTAGAGTGTTTTAAGTTTGGGGGGTTTTTATGTGGTGTTGTGGGGCTTTATGGGGTTTTGTATGGGCTTTACAAGGTTTCTAGAAGATTTTTTTCGGGTTTTGAAGGGTTTTCCAGGGTTTTATATTGTAGGGTTTTGTGAGGTTTTTACAGGGTTTTGTCGAGTGTTATAGGGTTTCATAGGGGCTTTTGGGTTTTGGGGTTTTGTGATGTTTTAGGGCTTAGAGGCTTTGGTTTTAGTTTCGTTTTGGGATTTAGAGCTTTAGGTGTTGGGTTAGGGCTTCGGGATTGTCGGGCATTCGAGGTTTGCAGGTTTTTTCAGCATTCACGGTTCAGGGCCTCGAGCCCTACAGTTTCAACGCGTCTACTTTAGGGGGCTTGAGGTCTTAAGGGTTTAAAGGGTGTTTGTTAGGTTCTCAAGCCCCCTAACCCGAAACCTTAAATCCTAAACCCTAGACCCTAGACCCTAAAACCTCAAACCCTAAACCCCCAAACCCTAAACCCTCAAGGCCCTGTAGCTCTTCGTGTTGGTCTGCGTCTCTTAAGGAAATCAAGGCCCGGAAACCTCCGCTCAGACACTCGAATCTTAGGATCAAGGGGTTTAGGGTTTAGGCTTTAGGGTTTAGGGTTCAGGAGGTTGGGATGTTCCCCCCTTATACGAACAGTCCTGAATAGGGAGTATAGTACCCCCTATTAGAATCCCGATTAAGGACTGAGAGTATGAGGGGCAACATCCCAAGTTCCAGGGTTTAGGGTTGAGGGTTTAGGGTTTAGGGTTTGCGGTTCACGGGCTAGGCTTAGGGTTTGGGGTCTAAGTTTAGGGTTCAGGGTTCCAGGGCTGAGGTTCTATGGTTAGGGTTGCCCATGGTGCAAACTTCACAAAGACGCAGATAGCTGTACTTCACTAAACCCTAAACCGTAAACCCTAAACCCTAAACCCTACATCCTAACTGGCAAGGTGCCGGCAGCTGAGAGAGCCGGAAGCAGCATCCGACATCTTGGAGTGCCTCGGACGGCCGTCACAGGGTTTTCTGGGAGGTGTTTCTGTAGGGTTTAGGGTTTAGGGCTTAGGGTTTAGGGTTTAGGGTTTAGGGTTGAGGGGGGGTGGGGGGGGGTGGGGGGGGTGGGGGGGGTGGAGGGTTTGGGGTTCAGAGTTTGGGGTTCCAGGGCTGAGGGTTTGAAAACGTGGAAGAGCTCGGGATGTTTTGGGCTGCGTGGCTCCCGGGAAGCGTTCCCAGTCATGGTTTAGGGTTTAGGCCTTAGGGTTTAGGGATGCTATTTCTCTGAACCCTAAGCCCTAAACCGTAAGCCCTAAACCCGAAACCCGAAACCCTAATCCTAAACTCCAAAAACCCCGGAGGCCTTTGAACCCTAACCCCCATGCACATAGTCCGCTCTTCTGAGTCTCGGAGTCTTCGAGGTGTCGGACTCCCGGTCTCCGAAACCTCAACCCTAGGATGCCCAGCTGTCAGCTTCGATATGAAGTAGGGTTTAGGGTTTAGGGTATATATATATATATGATTCGGCCCCGGCGGGCCCCCCCCCCCCCCCCCCCCCCCCCCCCCCCCCCCAATGGTATCCCCCCCCCCCCCCCCCCCTGTGGTGTGTTGGGGGTTGGTTTAGGGTTTTAGGGTTTAGGGGGTTTAGGGTTTTAGGGTTTTAGGGGTTTAGGGGTTTTTAGGGTTTAGGGTTTAGGGTTTGCCCCGCGGATGGGGTACTAAGATGAATCCCCCCCCCCTGTGGTGTGGTTGGGGGGTTAGGGGGGTTTAGGGTTGGTTTTAGGGTTAGGGTTTAAGGTTTTTAAGGTTTAGGGTTTAGGGTTAGGGTTTAGGTTTTAGGGTTTAGGGTTTAGGGTTTAGGGTTTAGGGTTTAGGGACCGTAGAGTAGACTTGGGGGGGGGGGGATACCATGGGGGGGGGGGGGGGGCGGGCCCAGGAGCTGAACCATATATATATATATATATATCTTGTGCCCCCAAAAGGGCACTTGGTATACACACTCACCAATATTAAAAAGGAACTTTATATACACTCACCAAGAACAGTAGTATAAACCCTGTTTCATATGGGTCTTTCCCAAATTTCGGGTACCCCTTTCATTGCCCAAATAGAACTGAATCCCTTAAAGGGACTCCCCCAAAAAGGGTACACCCATCTTCGGAAACCCCCATATACAACAAGGCCCTTAAGCCCTGAACCCTAAGCCCAGAAAGCTTTACGAAACAAAGCTCTAACCCCCTCAGCCCTCCTCAAACTTCTAAAAGCCCACCATATACCCTAAACCCTGAACCCTAAACCCTAAACCCTAAAACCTAAGCCCTAAACCCTAAACCCTAACCCCCTAAACCCCCTCATCACCCTAAACCCCCTAAACCCCTAAACCCCCTAAACCCCTAAACCCCCTAAACCTCCTAAATCCACTCAACCCCGCCAAACCCCTAAACAACCTGAACCCCCTCAACCCCTTGAAACCCCTTATATAAACCCCCAAAACCCACGTAGCCCTCCGCCCAAAACCTCCTCAACCCGCCAAAACCCTGAACCCTGAGGTTGATGAAAAGCCGCGGCATCCGCGCAATCCTTGCCGTTGCCGTCGAGATGGCCACCTTGCTCCTGGCTTTGGCATTGCGGGGTTTCGGGGGGTTCGGGGGCTTTTCTCAGCGGACCCTCACAGACCTGTGATGCCAACTGTGCTGACTAGGGTTTAGGGTTTAGTTTAGGGTTTAGGGTTTAGGGTTTAGGGTTTAGGGTTTAGGGTTTAGGGTTTAGGGTTTAGGGTTTAGGGTTTAGGGTCAGCCAAAAGCAAAATTGGGAAGCCTGTGGCCGGGCAAGGAGCCATGGTTCGTGCCTGATGTCGTCAACTCATGGATTTTAAGGGTTAAGGGTTTAGGGTTTAGGGTTTAGGGTTTAGGGGCAGGCGAGCTGTGTTGCAGTGGTGGGCCCAGGTTGCCACATGGCTGAAAGTCGGCCCAAATGACACGACCGTACCGATGAACCCCATTGTTGATTCTGCAAGAATGATGGAATTAATTATTAAAAGATGGTACAATTTTACCAGAATTTCATAAAAGAAAAGAATTTCAAATTTCACACAAAGAAGTTGGGAGGGGGGGGGGGGGGGGTTAGGGGTTTCTGAGATTCTAGGCTTTTGGACTCAGGGCTCGGGCTCGAAAGGCTTGAAGATTTCGGGTTAGTCGAGGTGGTTAGGCCCATTTTGGGTTCGGGCTTTGAGCTTTAGGATTTCAGGGTTTGGGGTTCTGAGATCAAGGTCTGCTGGAGCTTTGGTTGCTCCAGGGTACAATTTTTCACAAACCCTGAAGCCTAAACCCTAACCCTCTAAACCCCTAAACCCCCAAACCCTAAACCCTAGACCTAAACCCCGAAACCCTAAACCCTAAACCCCGAATCTGAAACAAACAAACGAGAGCTCTTCTGAACATGTCGTGCCTCAGCCAGCGCGCAGCTGAGGTTGAACGTGTCCGGGCAGCACGAGGAGTGGGCCGGGCACTTGAAAACCGCAGGTTTTTGAGGGTTTGTGGTTTAGGGGTTTGGGGTATTAAGGTTTAGGGTTTGGGGTTTCGGGCTTGGGGTCGAGGGTTAGTTAGTTTTTTTTTTTTTTGCTTTGGGGCAAGTTTTTTTGGTTTAGGGCTTCCGGGCTGCTTCTGAGCTCATCTCCCCCCCCCCCCGCTCCTGCTCAATCCCCTAAACCCTGAACCCTAAACCCTAAACCCTAAGTCCTAAGTCCTAAGTCCTAAACCCTAAACCCTAAACCCTAAACCCCAAACCCCAACCGCTAACTGCCAAACCCCTAAAAAACACTCAAGCCGAAGCTGGGTTTTGGACCCTAAGCCCTAAACCCCAAACCCTGAGCCCCGAACCCTCAACCCTAAACCCCAAACCCCTAACCCCTAAACCCTAAACCCCAACCCTACACCCTTCATCCTAAAAAGCCCGAAGGTTTCGGGGTTCTAGGGTTTAGGGTTTAGGGTTTAGTTTAGGGTTTAGGGTTTAGGGCCTGTGCAGGAGGCACTGCGCTGGGCAACCCTGCAGCACCCTCTGCTTGAAGGCAGAAGCTTGGCATTAGGGTTTGGGGTTTAGGGTTTGGGGTTTAGGGCTTAGGGTTTAGGGTTTGGGGTTTGGGGTTTAGGGTTTAGGGTTTAGGGTTTGGGGTTTGGGGGTTTGGGGTTTGGGGGTGTGGGGTTTAGGGTTTAGGGTTGGGATGTTCCCCCTTGTGCTAGCAGTCCTTAGTCGTGATTTTAGTACCCCCGTTTATCCCTACTCAAGACTGTTCGTATCGGGGGGAACATCCCAAGTTTAGGGGGGGTTTAGGGTTTGCCGGGTTTGGTGCTTTTCGTGTATGGTGCCCCCAGCCTCACCTTTCCTTTCCCCCTGCCCGCCGCCGCCTCTCTGAATGTCTTTCTTCATGAGTTGTATTTTCCCTACAAAAAATCCCCTAAACCCTAAACCCTAAACCCGAAACCCCAAACCCTAAACCCCCAAACCCCAAACCCCAAACCCCAAACCCTAAACCCCAAACCCTAAACCCCAAACCCCAAACCCCAAACCCTAAACCCTGAACCCTGAACCCCCAAGCCCCCTAAGCCCCCCAAGAAGCAGGTCTTGGCTTGGCAATGAATCCCCTCTGCTACAACGAGGCCATGCGTGCCTATGGAGGTGCCCCTCCCGAGGATCCCCTGGGGGCCCGAGCCGAAGCCTTAAGGCCCTAAAGGGGTTTAGGGTTTAGGGTTTAGGGTTTCGGGGTTTCGGGAATTCGGGTTTCGGGTTTCGGGGCTGTAAGCTCGAAAGCCCGCAAGCTCAAAAGCTCCAGGAGGTTTGGGCGTGTGGCTCTTAGAGCCCTGGGCCCCGAAACCCCAAAGACCCTCGGCTCGGAAGAAAGACATTCAGGCGGAGGCTTGCGGCTCCAACCCTATCCTAAACTGTGGATCCCCAACCCCAAACCCCAAACCCCAAACCCCCAACCCCAAACCCCAAACCCCAAATCCCAAATCCCCAACCCCGAACCCCAAACCCCAAACCCAAAAACAACAAACCCTAAACCCTAAACCCTCAACCCTGAACCCTAACCCTACCCCAAAAAGCCCTCAACCCTAAACCCTAAAAGCCCTCAACCCAAAAGCCGAAAAGCCCTCGGCCCTGAGAGAGGTTTGAGGCGACCCGAAGAAGCGCGCCGCTTGCTGAAGGACCCGGGCCGTGCACACAAACGGGTTCTGGGGTTCTGGGGTTTAGGGTTTAGGGTTTAGGGTTTAGGGTTTTGGGGTTCGGGGTTTGGGGTTTAGGGTTCAGGGTTTAGGGTTTGGGAGGGTTTAGGGTTTCGGGTGTTTGGGCTTAGGGCTTAGGTTTTAGGGGTGGGGCTTGACCGAGCTACAGTCTTTACGCGCTTTTTCAGGTGCACTTCAATGTGGAGTACAACAGTCCACACGATGGTTTGAGTTAGGAGGGTTGCAATGGAGCGATGGCCTCTGCATTGAAGGGAAGGTCTTGGGAATCCTCGCACAACCCTAAACCCTAAACCCTAAACCCTAGACCCTAAACCCTAAACCCAGATACCTCAAGTTCCACTTTTCGCCTAGGAGTGGCAAGTGGCGACTTAGTAGGGTTTACCCCCACGACCCCAAATTGCAACTCCTTTTGCACTTGCTGCTGTGGCCTTTACGCATATATATATATATATATATATATATATATATTTCCACATTTTTCTCACCATTAACGTTTTAGATACCCCCCAAAAGGAACCACAATTGGGCTTCTGGGCAGGAATGCGGCAAGCGAGCTGGGGAGAACGCGAATCATGAATGTGGCGGACGCCCGAGACACCCTAGCCCCAAGCCCCAAGCCCGAAACCCCAAACCCGAAACCCTAAATCCTAAGCCCGAAATCCTAAACCCTCAATCCTAAACCCTAATCCTAAACCCCAAACCCTAAAACCCTAAACCCGAAGCCCCCGCCAAAAGTTCCTGAACCCCCCCCACCGCAGAAGGTCGGGATCGAGCCTGGCATGCTTTGAGCCCTTAGCCTCGCTTAGCGCTCCTTCCCCCGCGCGGGCGCGCGCGCGCGCGCGCGCGCGCCGCGCGCGTCGCGCGCCCGGGGGTTCGGCGCCATGGCGCCCCGAGGCTCCGGGAACGGCTCCCTGGACCGCTGGGCAAACCGACGGCCCGACTCCAGCAGCGAGGAGAACACTGAGTCTGGGTCATTGTTGAAAATCAGTTTACATCTTTCTGAATACTTTAAACCAAATAAGGAAGACAAAATGATCATTTTTATGAATACCCAAACCCAATAAAGATTTTTTCATTTTTAAATCGTATCCCGCAAGCATGGCGCAGGAGTCCTCCTTGGAGGACGTGCTCTCCAGGCCGCAGTCGGCGCAGGTCGCGCGCCCGCAGGAGCTCTCGGGTCTCAGCGGCCTCAGGGAGGAGGACACGGAGGAGCGGTATGCTCCCCAGATGCAAAGTGCTACCCTACTACTCTTACTCCCGTTTTTTGGGGATTTAGGTTCCCTTAATTTGCAAACCCCCCCCCCCCCCCAACAAAAAAAAGGGGGGCTAGCTACGCGTCTGAAATCCTGGGTTTCTGAGCATCCTAGGCTCACTGCGCCTCTCCTTCCGGCACGCCCGTCCAACTTCAGGTGGATCAGGGTTTATTTTATTTATATTGCTGTTCTTGGTGAGTGTATATAAGGTTCCTTTTAATTCTTGGTGAGTGTATATAAGGTTCCTTTTAATTCTTGGTGAGTGCATTTATTTTTCTGTCCCCAAAGGGGGGGTTCAAGAAACAAAAGCCCTAAACCCTAAATCCTAAATCCTAAGCCCTAAACCCTGAACCCTAAACCCTAAACCCAAAACCCTAAACCCTCCTTCAGGTGGACACGGGCTTGGGCGGCTTGGGTCACCTGAAGCCGCCCTCGCCCTCCAGCAAAGCGAAGCTTGTAGCCCAGTGCTTTACTTTTTTTTTTTTTTTCAGTGGTGCCCTTTATAACATTTTTTTTGGGGGGGGAGAACTGGTTTCCCTAGCAAAGTGACCAACCCCCCCAAAAAAAGGGGTGCCCTGATTATGATATGGCTACTGGGCTACCAAGGAAGAGGATGAACATGAAAGGAACGAAGGACTCGCAGTCGACGACGTCGCTGGAAGGAGGGCTGCCTTCAGGCAGAAGCTTCGTCACAGTTGGGTACCATTTTACATTTATGTAAGGGTACTTAAGACCCTAATAAGGAATGACATATGACTGTTAAATATTCTCCTAACCATGAACTAGGAAAGGGCCAAAAGGCCCTCAAAGACCTCCGTGACGATGTTGTCGTGGAGCGTACGGAGGAGGAGCTCGTGATCGATCGTGAAGAGCAGCTGGCAGAAGGCTACGGTCTCCGCGCCGTGTCCATGAGAAACTTCGTGGCCGAAGGAGTACACTTTAGGGTTTAGGGTTTAGGGTTTAGGGTTTAGGGTTTAGGGTTTAGGGTTTAGGGTTTAGGGTTTACACCTTTTGGGATGCTATAATCTCCTATAAAGCTGAAAGCGTACACCTTTTGGGGGGGCTTGTGAACTTCAGCAACTAAGGAAAAGCAGCTGGCAAGGGCATGGACATCGAGAAGTTCGGCCCCTTTAGGCGCTTCTGCCATGACTTGATTGTGTGGAACGGTTTCGACACAGTGATCGGCCTGGTCATCATGCTCAACGGTGTGACCATCGGCATCCAAGCGCAGTATTCGGCCAGAATCCCGAGACAAGCCGGTTGCAATCCAGACTGCAGCGGATGTCTTGAGGGAACGGTCTGCCTTCCCTCTCCCGTGTGGATTGCAAACATCGAGTGGTTCTTCCTCGTGATCTATGTCACCGAGCTTTCGCTGCGCTTCTTCGTTTTTAGGCTGCCTGTTCTCCGAAGCAACTGGGTGAAACTGGACTGCTTCCTGGTCTTATTTGCCATCGTGGACGTCGTACTCTCACAGGTTGACGTTGGTGGAGAGTTATTGCAGCAGCTTATGTTGGTGCGCATGTTCCGCTTGGCCCGTCTGGCTAGGGCAGTTCGCTTGCTGGTCATGTTCCAGACTTTGTGGATGTTGGTGCAAGGTCTGCTGCACAGCGTGATGACACTGTTTTGGACGTTCGTGATGATCATCAACCTCGTGTTCATCTTTGCGGTGTCTTAGGGGCACTTGAAAACAATTCTTAATTTTTTTGGTTGCTATACTCCCTAAGGAACAGCCAAAACTAGAATTAGTTCAGTATAGGTTTTGGGCATGGAGCTGATCTCCGTGGATCTGACCCTGCCGCTTGACCATCCCTTCAACATCGCCGCCGAGAGGAACTTCCGGAGCTTGCTCGATGCCTCCTTGATCCTACTCCAGTGCTTCTGCTGGGACAGCATCAGTGGAGTGTACCGACCGCTCATCAAGCACAGGCTCGAGCTCTTCCTGTACTTCATGGGAGTACAGCTGATTCTGGCCATTGCGCTGATGAACCTGGTTACTAGATGGGACTTTACTACAACTTTATCACTTTATAAGTAGAGGGTTCCTCCAACTTCATGTTAAGGGAGCGAAGAGTTAGACCTTCATTGGGCGGGTTAAAGAGCAACCAAGGTTACAGCAATCATGGTTGAAGGCTCCCTGGCCCAGGCTGACGAAGACAAGGAGGCGAAGAAGGCGTATGCCAGTGCAAAGAGGACGAAGCAGATGGGAAAGCTGCAAGACATGTTCCTCGAGCTCGACGAAGATGGCTCCGGCGAGCTGAGTATGGAAGAAATCGACAACGCGCCACCCGCCATGCGGCAGAATCTGATGGAAATCGCTGGAACCGAAGACATCGGGTCCCTCTTTGAAATGCTGGACTACGATGGAAGCGGAACAGTTGGGACGGAAGAATTCTGCGACGGCATCATTAAGGCTGCGAATGGCGTGACTCCCGTGGAGATGAGCCGCCTTATGAAGCAGAATACCGACATCCTGCACAACAGCCGGTCCATCATCTGCCTTCTTAGGGGGGAGGAGGTCGACCTGGGTTCTCTGGACGGTTCCGATGAGGAGGGCGAAATCCCCAAATGGAGGGTACCCCTTCTAGAGCCCAAAGAGACTAGAATCCCCTTTTAAAAGGGAGTCCCAAAAAGGGTACCGCCGATTTTCGGAAACCCCCAGGAGGGCAACAAGCCTGCGCCAGATTCCTCTCCGCCGAAGCGGCGTCGCAGCAGCGTCGCCTTTCAACAGGCGCTCGCCGAGGGGAGGGCCGATGACATCGGTGACCAGATGCTGGGTCACTGTTGAAGAATCATTTCACATCTTTATCAGTACTTAAAACCCAACAAGGAAACAAAAAGTTGCAACCTTGAATCGTGTCCCCCAACCATTTTTGCAGGATGCTGAGAGCCACTGCCCAAAGCCAAGAGGAGGCTGACATGGCCCGGCTGGCCGCGCAGCAGCGCGTGCAGCGGCTCGAGGAGCGCGTGGACACCATGGAGAAGACCATCAACAGCATGCGGGGCGATGTGAGGCAGGGGTTTCTTATCAGTTCTTGGTGAGTGTGTATATATATATAGGGTTTAGGGTTTAGGGTTTAGGGTTTAGGGTTTAGGGTTCCGTATGAATTATTGGTGGGTGTCCTTTTGGGGGTACAAGAAATAATACGCCCTACTTCATGTCAGGAAGATGGTTCACACCATGACGAAGTTGAGCAACATGCCGATGCGGTCGAGCACGCACCAAAGCCACGGCAGCCTCAAGCGGGCCGTCGCGGTGTGCCGCGGCCCAATCGGCAGCCTGGAAGCCCTGGCAAACCAAGTCTCGACGTCCAGCAGCACACGTTTCTGAGGCGCTGCGGGCGAGCCGCTTTGTTCGGGTGCAGGCCTGAACCCGCCGAAGCCCCAAAGCGGCGAAACGCCCTCCAGTGCCGGTGCAGTTTCACCCGAATGCAGAGTGCTGTGCCTTTGTCAGTTCAAACTGTCCCAGGTTTCAGTAAAATAGGCCCCAAATAGTAGGATCCCTTTATAATAGGGACCCCACAAAGGTACCCCCCCCCCTCTCCCCCCATTTTCGGAAACCACCATATCGGCCCAAGCAAAGGGTCCCCTCAACACACTCTTTATATGGGCGATCTGGCAACAGGGTGCCCAAACCCGAACCCTAAACCCGAAACCCTGAACCCGAAACCCTAAACACTCCCTCGACCCGACGCCCTAAACCTCAAACCCTAAACCCTAAACCCTAAACCCTAAACCCTAAACCCTAAACCCTAAACCCTAAACCCTAAACCCTAAACCCTAAACCCTTAAACCCTAAACCCTAAACCCTAAACCCCTAAACCCGTAAACCCGAAACCCGAAACCCCAAGTCCAAGAAGGAAGCCCTAGCGCGGGACGATGCTCTCGCAGCATCGGAGGGGATCGTCTTCGCCTCCATGAAGGCCACGAGCCCTGAGCCGGGCTTTTCTGGGGTTTGAGGTTTAGGGTTTGGGGTTTAGGGTTTAGGGTCTAGGGTTTGGGGTTGCGGGTTTCGGGTTTAGTTCGGGTTTAGGGTCCAGGGTCTAGGGTTTGGGGTTCAGGGCTTCGGGCTTTAGGGCTGTCAATTCTGCGAGCGCAGACCCAAAACTCTTCCTCTCCAAACCCCCAAACCCCAAACCCCAAACCCTAAACCCTAAACCCTAAACCCTAAACCCTAAACCCTAAACCCTAAACCCTAAACCCTAAACCCTGCAAAGACACCTACAACTCAAGCAAGGCGTTCACCACCGTGATCCGCGCCTTTGCCGTGTCGAAGCAGCTGCGGGACTGCCAATTGGTGGGCAGGGCCTTGGTGCAAGAATTGAGGGGCACGAAGTCGCAAATGCCAATTGGCAAATATTTTGATGAAATTGAGGGACAGTTAGAGTTTAATCTGAAACAGGGAAAGACGACACGACATGAATGAAATGAAAAAAAAGATCTTACACAGGATCTACGTATCTTGACAATGTTTCTACATGTCCACCAAACATACCGTTTATGCTCTTTTCCTTTTCAGCAACATCTCGAACAACAACAAGCGTCATTCTATGATTCTGAGTTGTGGGGGCGATTGCTTGAACCGCGTCAGCCCCCTGAACCGTGAATCCCTACACCCGAGCCCCTACATCCTAACCCTAAACCCTAAACCCTGAACCTTAAACCCCAAACCCTCAACCCTCAACCCTCAACCCTCAACCCTAAACCCTAACTCTCAGTCCCCAGGTTCTTCAGGCGCCCAAAACCATCCAAACCCGCACATGAAACCCTGAACCCTAAACCCTAAACCCTAAACCCTAAACCGTAAACCCTAAACCCTAAACCCTGAACCCTGAACCCTGAACCCTAAACCCTGAACCCTGAACCCTGAACCCGAAACCCTAACCCCTAGAGGAGGCTGAGGAGCTCTTCGAGGAGATGGTCGAATCTCGCAGCCGTCTACCCCTGCACCTTCAGGGTCTGCTGGCGAAGCTGTTAGGGTTCAGGGTTCAGGGTTCAGGGTTTAGGGTTTAGGGTTTAGGGTTTAGGGTTTAGGGTTTAGGGTCTAGGGTTTAGGGTTTAGGGTTTAGGACCTTGGGCTTTTGTTTCCTTTCTGGGGTTTAGGCTTTAGGGTTTCGAGGACGGGGGGTGGGGTTTAGGATAGGGCGTTTGTGGAGGCCAGGGCCTAGGGTTCAGGGTCTGGGGATGGGGAGTTCTACATGGGGTTAAGTCAAGGGGCTCAAGGGGCAGTGGGTAAAAAGCCTGTTGGAACCTTACTTGCAACCTAACTAGGGTCCTACCCTGAACTCAAACGAACTTCTAACTTAGGTACTGAACTCTGCCCCCTAGACCCTGAACCCCGAACCCAAAGAACTGCTGTTTTGCGTGTTTCGGCTTTCTTGCGGGCTTTGGCCGTCCACGGGCTTAGACTCTAGGGTTTCGGGTTTGGGGTTTAGAGTGCGGGGTTTCGGGGGTGTGCCAGTAAGAACCCAATCTTTTGCACGGGGTGGGGGAGGTTTAGACCCTAAAGGACCCTAAAGCCTACATTGGAAACTGGTAACCCTCTAAACCCTGAACCCTAAACCCTAAACCCCAAACCCTAAACCCTAAACCCTAAACCCTAAACCCTAAACCCTAAACCCTAAACCCTAAACCCTAAACCCTAAACCCTAAACCCTAAACCCTTAAGCAAGTAGGCTATATGAGAGCATGTTACTTACGGTTTATGCCCTGCAAGCACGCAAGGCTCCGCACGGAGAACGCAAAGACCTTTAGCACACCCTGGGCCCTTAATCACCAAACGTTGAACCCTTAGGGTTTAGGGTTTAGGATTTAGGGTTTAGGGTTTAGGGTTCAGGGTTGAACCCTGAACCCTGAAACCCTGAGCCCTGAAACCCGAAACCCTGAAACCCCTAAATCCCGAACCGTTGCATGGCTCACGGAATGCGGTAAGGGCAGTAGACCAATCATCTGTATTCAGAATCGTGACCCCAGGTGGTACTCAGTAATTTCCCTTCATCAAAGAACATGCCTTACAGGGCCCCTACGCAGTCGAAGAAGCTGTAACCTCGACAGTTTACGATATTCCCGACAGCTTACGACCGAAAACCCTACTTTCGAAACACATTCCTATGTATTCAGGGAACCCTAAACCCTAAACCCTAGACCCTAAACCCTAAACCCTAAACCCTAAACACAAACCCTAAACCCCAAACCCTAAACCCTAAACCCTAAACTCTAAAACCCTATGTAGGACTGCCCGAGCAAGGCCTGCGGCAGGCCGACGACGTGATGTACACCGTCCTCATGCAGGAACGGCTTTGGGGTTTATCGAGAGCTTTCGAAGTTTGGGTTTTTTTTCGGGCTTCGAGGTCAGGGTTTGGGGTTTCGGGTTTAGGGTTTAGGGTTTAGGCTTTAGGCTGTAGGCTTTAGGCTTTAGGCTCTAGGCTGAACGCTCCCAAAGGACGCTCAAGAAGACTTCGTCCAGCTACCCCACAGCTACTGGACCATGCAACCCAAACTCCCAAACAGGCTAAGCCCTAAACCCCGAACCTGAATCCCTAAACCCCAGCCCCGAAACCATGGACCCTAAACCCCAAACCCGAAACCCGAAACCCTAAACCGAAACCCAAACCCCCAACCCGAAACTCTTGACCCTGAACCCTAAAATCCCCAAAACCCAAGCCCCAAACCCTAAACCCGAATCCCTAAACCCCAAACCCGAAACCGTAAACCATAAACCCTAAACCTTAAACCCTAAACCCCAAACCCCAAACCCGAAACTCCAAACCCTAAGCACCAAACCCTAAACCCCAAGCCCCAAACCGCAAACCAAACCCCAAACCCCAAACCCCAAACCCCAAACCCCAAGCCCCAAACATCAAAAACCCCACAAACCCCACAAACCCCACAAACCCCACAAACCCCACAAACCCCACAAACCCCACAAACCCCAAAAACCCCAAAAACCCCAAAAACCCCAAACCCCAAACCCCAAACCCCAACCCAAACCCCAAACCCCAAACCCCAAACCCCCAACCCTAAACCCTAAACCCCAAACCCTGAACCCTAAACCCCAAAGAAACCGGAACCCTAACCTCCAGGAGTGGGCTCGGCAGGGCGACCGCGCCAAGGCGGAGGAGTTCTACCAGCAGATGCTCTCCGAAGGTGCGCGCGGATTGCGGTTCTGCGAACCCAGGGTTTAGGGTTTAGGGTTTAGGGTTTAGGGTTTAGGGTTTCGAGTTTAGGGTGTTTAGGGTTTGGAGTGTCGGCTTTGGGGTCTAGGGTGTGGGGTTGAGGGTTCAGGGTTTTGGGATTTGGGGTTTGCGGTTTGTGGGGCCTTTGGGGATCAAGGGCTTTCGGGGCTTGAGGGTTGGGGTTTGGGGTTGGTGACTTTGGGGTTCTGGGGTGATGTAGGGCCTCAAGGGGTTTCTCCTACTGCTGTGTTTTCCAACAAGCCCTATGTACACATCAAGAATGTACATTACCGATCTGGGTGCCCTGTCCTGAAAAGTTTTCTTCATCCCATTCCTTCGACAGCCTTTCCAGCGTTTCTCGAATCCGGACTCGCAAATGAAAGCCCCCCTGCTGTGTCTGGTTTAGTGCTGAGGGTCTTTCTGTAGCCACTGTAGCCGTACTCCCGCATCTCCCACTCCCGAAAACCCTGAATCCTTGTAGTTTAGGGTTGAAGCACCAACAGCCCCAAGACCGTAAACCCTACACCCCAGACCCTGACCCTCGAACCCGAAACCCCAAAGCCTAAATCCCACACCCCAAACCCTAACCCCTAAACCCCAAACCCAAACCCCG